CGAATTACTTTCAAAACTAAGTACTCATAACTCTTTTCCTTCTGCATTACAAAAAGTTCATCGAATTATTCAACAACCTGTATACACATTCACGCAAAATCTCACACAGTACTGACTGCTTCAAGAAAAGAGTTCAACTGTTGACCATCGAAAGACTAGATCAATGACACCTAAGAAAAAAACGTGAATGCTTAGCTTAAAACGCGCTTCGAATCTGAGAAAATAATTCACAGTGCCAGGCGTATTAGGTAAAAACGAGTTGCATGAATAGCCTTTGAATGCGTGTTATAATTTATATAGTTGTGTTCGAAAGTGAATGGCATAAGAATGGAAAGGAAAAATATACCATTTATTATGAAGACAGAAATGATTGTATCGCTTGAAAATGCTAATGGCCTTCTATGTTGAAGAAAAATGTAGCCATCGAAGATATCAAAAGATGATCTGAACTCAACTAGCTCTGGTATCTGTGTGGTTACAAAAGCTACAGAAATGGCTACCGTTGTAATCGGTTGCGACAGCAACCTATTACAACGGTAGCCATTTCTGTAAATAATGCCTGTAAATAGTGAATATCATGAGCGATGAATATAATTTTTAAGGAAGTGAATATCCTGTTGGGGGCAGTCAATATGATGTTAGGGACAGTGAATATAATGTTGTGGGCAGTGAATATAATGTTGGAAGCAATAAATAGAATGTTGGGGGATGCAGAATTGCTAAAATTATCAAACCTATTTGGGAAACAAACTATACAACTAAAAGAAGTATGAACAAAGGTGTGGGATTTCAAAAAATATTTGAAACATGGTCAATTAGTGTTTTTAGCAAATTCTCTCTATTATTTTGCCCACCGTTGCAGTTTCCTACATCGACGAATTCACCAGATTCGCGTGAAGGTAAAGTTCTGTATCGGTTGCCTGGGGATAGTGAATATAATGATGTGGGCAGTGAATATCATGTTGGAAGTCGTAAATATAATGTTGGGGGCTGCAGAATTGCTCAAATTATTCAACCTATTTGCAAAACAAACTATACAACTGAAAAAAGTATGAACAAAGGTGTGGGATTTCAAAAAATATTTGAGGCATGGTCAATTCGTGTTCTAAGCAAATTCTCTCTATTATCCTACATCGACACATTCACCAGATTCGCGTGAAGGTGAAGTTCTGTATCAGTTGCCTGGGGATAGTGAATATAATTTTGAGGGAAGTGAATATCATGTTGAGGATAGTCAGTATCACGTCAGGGACAGTGATAACGTTGTGAACAGTGAATATCATGTTGGAAGCAGTAAATATAATTTGGGGGCTGCAGAGTTGCGGAAATTATCCAACCTATTCGAAAAACAAACTATACAACTGAAAAAAGTGTGAACAAAGGTGTGGAATTTCAAAGAAATATTTGAGGCATGGTTAGTTTGTGTTTGAATTCTATTTTCGTGCCCACCGTTGCAGTTTCCTACACCAACAATTTTACAAGATTCGCGTGAAAGTAAAGTTCTGTACCACTTGCATAAATTATAACGTTGCAGTTTCGTATTCCTATAATTTTCGAATTAGTTATTACAATCAAATTAAAATTCATAACTGGAGAAACTCAAGTGGGTAACTACACTATAATTTACGTTAGATGTAGTAGTAGTGAATTACCGCCGAACATACTAATTATTGGTTCTACCATAATTGGCTGAATTGTTGCTTTTAGCACTACTCGAAAAAAGAGACATTAGCACTTTTGTGATATTTCTGCTTGACATAGAAATAAGAAAATATCAATAAAATCAATCCGAAAATGGAAACGTAGGAACTGACGCAACTTTCTCCAGTTGAATATTCAAAGAAAAACTATAAATGACGTGGTGGCAATGTATGCACAGGGTGTTCAATACCGATTAACAAATCAGAAAGTCAGTGACATGATTTCCATAAGAGATAAAAGCTTTAAATTCAAATAATGCTATGAACAGAACTTTTTCAACATCCAGCACCTGAAGTAAAGAGGAACCCTTGAGAAAACTATGTATATGAATATAAAATCAATGAGATTGTACCTGCCAATATAGAAAACTTGACTCAAGCGATGGATACTAACGAAAAGTCTACCAGAAAAATTACAAAATAGAGTCACAAGATGCTATCCCACTATAGAAAGAAATAGCAGTCTTGTGAATACCACTTTTACTTCTCTTAGGAAAGGAGAGGCATCAGCTGAAGGTATTACTGAAGAATAACAAGATTTTCCATCAGATCAAAGCACAGTTTCGTGAGTTTTACCACCAATATTTTGACGAGCTTTACTTGCTTGTCATTTGAACAGCGAGTAGCAAATTTACTGCCATTTTATCCTGATTCTGGGAAAAAAGGTATATGGTGGAGCTCATTATCTTAGACGTAGAATTCTCAGCAGACTCAATAACAATGTTACATTACAAGATCGTTCAGAGAAGAATGGGTCTTTGGTACAGAAATCAAAACAATGAGATACTGATGCAAGTCCAGTTTTGAGTATAAGATACAGATGAACGACTTTAGATTTTTTTTCGATCCTAAACATCCTCATTTCATAGAGAAAAAGTTATTTTTCCAGTCAAAGATTACGAGATAACACTGTGACTTCATTATATCAAGAGTATGTGATTAGTGAAGTTGATTATCCGGTCAAATTAGACTAAAAAATAAGAGTGAAGGTACATAAATTTACAACAAGCTGCAAATGCGTGAAATTGTTCAAAACATAGTTAAAAATAAGATTTTAAAATTCCGAATGATTGCGATGCCTGGAAAAAAATTTATTCGAGGTCAAAGGTCGAAAATCTCGAAATAAATTGGTTTTTCGCGATTTTCAGGAAAACGGTAGGTTTTATCATAAAATAACCTCAGATAAAAATTGTAGATCATAAAATTCTCTACTTTTTTTCTTAGAGCCACCGTTTCTGAGATACGACGAGTAAAAAAGTTGTAATCGTCATTATATGCATAAGTATGCCACGTATATACATCAATGAAGTTGTAATTTAAGTAAAAATATTGCACGATGGAACGAGAACTATTAAAGCTGCAGAACAACGTCGTCGAACTTTAGCAACACCTTCATCTTCCGATATTCTATTTGATGAACTTATGACAGTTCCTACCAGTCAACAGAAATTTCTTGCAAATACTCACAACAAATCTCGGTTCATTTCAATGTTGAAGGATAAGTTTATTGGCGAAAATATATTGGTTAAACAGGCTAATAACGATGCCGACGTACTGATTATTGAAACAGCTATAGAGCAATTTAATTTGACAAATACAACTATTGTTTTTGGCGAAGATGTAGACTTACTGTACTTCTTACTGCTCGAACTCCACCTGAAAAAACTATTTTCTTTCCAAAGCCAGGAAAAACTCAAAGTCAAACCGAAATATATTTGTCAAAAAGTTTATATACTTTTGCAAAGAGTCAAAATCATGTACTATTTCTACACGCAATAACTGGCTGTGATACGACGTCTGCATTTTACAGGAGGGGTAAAGCAACAGTCTTTAAAGTGTTTGAAAAACAAAATTTAGTTCAATGTGCTGAAGTTTTCAGAAAAAGTAGTTCCACTAAACAAGAAATTATCACCAACGGGATTCAGTTTCTTCTTTTTATGTATAAAGCTCCGAAAAAAAAACACCTGCTTACATAAGTATCGATATGCATGTTTCGTAAAAAACACTAAAAATAAGAAACAGGTGCAATTAGCTTGTCTTTCTCCAACCTCAGTTGCTGCTCATCAACATCTTTTCCCATCAACATCTACACCCAGGATGAACATCAAGAAGAAGAAGAAGATCAAGAAGAAGAAGACCAAGAAGAAGAACGACAAGAATAAGTATTTGAAGGTTATGACTCGGATGAATAAATTTTTACATTTTTTAAATTTCAATCGCTTTTATAATTTCCAACCATTCCTGATATATTTTATTATGCAAGTTTCCAATTTGACAGAATCACAACAGACATGCGGAATAGGCCTACTGGGGAAACCACGTTAAAAAACGCGCTAAGTACACTACTTCATAGGTGGCGTGGAAACGTGTGCATATAATGACGATTACAACTTTGACAACTTTTTGATTCGTCGTATCTCAGAAACGGTGGCTCTAAGAAAAAAAGTATTCATACATATTTTGTAGAGAATTTAATGATCTACAATTTTTATCAGAGGTTATTTTATGATAAATCTCACCGTTTTCCTGAAAATCGCGAAAAACCAATTTTTTTCCAGATTTTTGACCTTTGACCGCGAATAAATTTTTTTACAGGCATCGCAATCATTCGGACTTTCAAAATCTTATTATTAACTATGTTTTGAACAATTACACGCGTTTGCAGCTTGTTGTAAATTTATGTACCTTCCAATGCCTAAAATGACCGGATTATGGAAATAGTGCACTTATATGGTAAATAAAGTTGTGGCGATCAAATTTTAAGTTGTAGTTTATAAAATTCATATGGTTCAGTATCTATCATTGATGTTGCTAACATTGAACATATTCAGGGCTAATATTTGAAGAACATCTAGAAACTATCTGGGTTGGGGAACTGACTACTCTATTTGTTCGGAGTCCTTGTTATTTCACATTCTCTGTAAGATGCAGTGATAATAACTAAACGCCATGTCGTAAACCATCATTATTCGTTTGGTAATATCCTACCCCATTGTTCTACTTGAGAAATAATCGACTATTCTTTCTTGAAAATATTCAAACCCCGATATCGAAACAAGAATTGCAGTATTAACCACTTTACAATTATTCACAGCGTCATATATTTCAAAGAGAAATATTTCAAAACATTTTCTCCTATTGTTCGACAGAAAAATTGCGACTCATTGCTATTGTTACGTTTTCCTAGCCGTCAACTACAATCTTTCAGGAATTATCAAGAATAAATTTATGCGCCATTGTTGCGAGTTTATTTCTTCGTCAAGAAATAAAGGAGTACTATATTAGAATTTTTTCACTCACCTTTGACGGTGGTCGTTTGCTTTTTCTCTTTCGGCGAGAAGATTGTTCTTCTGACTTTCGGTTCGGATGACGGCGATGCGTGGAGTGTAGCATTTTTCTTATCTGGAAAAAAATTACGCAGGTTTTAGAAGACAACAAAATTCAGAAATTACTGATTCGAATTGAATCTGTAATCCATACACGTCCAAAACTAAAACAATGTCTTTTCAATGTTTTTCCGGCAGATCGGAGCAAGAATAGAGAAGATCAGAGTGGAAAGGGGAAGAAAAGAGGAAAGGAAAGTAAATCAAAACACAATGGAGTAAAGTCGAGTAGAATAGTAGAGGCGTAGTGGAGTAGAGTCGAGATGAATAGAGGGAGAATAGAGTCGAGTAAAATAAAGGCAGAGTGGATTCAATTAGAATAGAATAGAGAAGACAAGAAGACAATATAGAAGAGAAGAGGAGAGGAAAGTAGATAAAAGACGAAGTGAAGTATACTGGAGTGGAATTGAGAGATTGAGAGTGAAGTAGAGACGCAAAGAGAAGAAGAAAGTAGTTTAGGGCAGAGTGGATTAGAATGGAGGCAGAGTGAAGAATAGAGGCAGAGTGGATTCAAGTAGAATGGAATAGAGAAGACAAGAAGACAATATAGGAGACAAGAGGAGAGGAAAGTAGATAAAAGACAAAGTGAAGTATACTGGAGTGGAATTGAGAGATTGAGACTGAAGTAGAGAAGGAAAGAGAAGAAGAAAGTAGATTGGGGCAGAGTGGATTAGAATGGAGGCAGAGTGAAGTGGAATAGAGAAGATGAGAGTGGAGTAGAGGATAAAAAAGGGAGGAAAGCAGATTAGGGCAGAGTGGATCAGAGCCAAGTAGAATAAACGCAGAGGGGAGTGGATTGGGTGGAATAGAGAAGATAACAGTGGAATAGGGAAGAAAGAGGTGAGGAAAGTAATTTAGTGCAGATTCGAGACGAGTAAAGTAAAGAAAGAGTGGAATTGAGTGGAGAGGAAAGCAGATTAGCGTAGAGTGGAGTAGAGTGAGAAGTAATCCAACAACTCCTACACGTTCAATGACTCAGGAAGTTCTGTCTGGGTTGAACAAAGTCCAAGTTAGTTTCAGAGCGTTCCTCAAAGACATCAACCCACATCATGGAATATGGAACGACATTTAGTCGTAAAAGTCCAATGATTAATAACTCAAAAACACAATTCATGTATGAAACTTGCATGAACGACTATCATTCAGAACAGAAAAGAATGGAAGAGGAAAGAATGGTGTAGAATGGAATAGTGTTGAATGAAGCAAAGTAGAATAGAATAGAATAGAAAAGAGTGGAATGGATCAAAGCAGAAGAGTAAAGAAAAATAAAGTGGACTGTGGGTTTCACAAAGTTAGAGATTGAAGCTGGAAGGGTTGGCAAAATATTGAACGACGGGTGTTATACCAACAAAATGAACTAGAATAAAAACACGTGTAGTGGAGGCACTGCCAAAAATTTTGTGAATCTACTTCGAAACATCGACCTTTAGAACATCATTTTAAAGGTGCCGAAAAAATTCAAAAATAAAATTGCTGAAGTAGTTCCAAGAAAGGTAATATCCTTTCACCTAACTTCATGAAGCTGATATAAATATTTATTCAGAGAGGTGATTTTTTTGCTTCAAAGTCGCGAAGAGAAAAAACTGAAAAAGAATATTTATTTTTAATTGATAAAACAATGGTTCATTACATGAATGTAGTATATAAATGAAATACAACGAAACATCACAAAATTATGATTAATTTCTCTTCAAGAGACTGACAATTTGTGATATGAAACAACTAAAATAAATTCATATCATAATTTTTTTCAATTAACACAAATTTTTCACCCTACAAAACTCGAGATTATGTTTGAAATACCGGAAAAACAATTGAAGGGGCATTCTGCCGTAGTCCGACCCTGAGTTCTTAGATAGATAGATTACAGCCCGACAGTCACAATATTTAACGGTTCATGTTTAACTTTGAACGAATTACGGCATCAATACCTGAACTTCACGTTCATAACCATTTCTAGAAAATAGAAATACACATGTATTTATAACGATATTGTAAATTAGGTGCGCTGGAATATTCAGCGTAGGCTACAATCAATACAAACGCTCTGAAATGTGTGTTGCCTACATCGAAGGTAAAAATGTTAGCTTCGGGTATCCTGCAAATTTTCTCAGCTTAGTAACCCGTTATTATCTGCCTGACAGAAATATATTCATTAATTAGAGAATGTTTGGTCCACAACCTTCACTTATAACCTTTAACAAAAAAATAATCATGAAACTGATACAAAAAGGGTAATATTAGATATCTCTTTTATGTAGTCAAGGGTTTTATTTATCATTGAAAAATTCAATAGCAGAAACCCCGGGTTTTTTCTTCATACAGCAAGGGTTTCTATTTGTTATTGAAACTTTCGAAAGGAATATATTTCATCTTGAATGTAGGAAAGAAGAAACCATTGTCAAACGCTTTTTTTTCAGCGAAATCATGACCAGAGCTATCATTGAGAATTTTCTAGCACAGATATATATGCCGGAACCTTTACGAATATTAGATGTCTATAAAACAAGTTTTCATTTCATTTCATTAGAGTGAAATTTTAATTGAAATAACAAGGTTATCACATCGACACAACTAGAAAGCTTTTTCATTAATTAATTAAATAATAAGCCAACCCGACTAGTGATTATACAACCACATGTGGTCCTCATAGTTAACATATCATTTAACTAATTCTCCCCCAATTTGTCAATCGCATCTTTGACACTAGGCAGGTGCAATTTTACCAGAGAATATCCCCAAATGGCCCATCCCTCACCCACTGAAGCAGTTCCACGCCCCCATTTCGAGACTAGTTACCACAGGCGTACTTATTCGAAAAAAGGGATTAAAACATAATTTTTTTGCACCTCCCGATGATATTGATTCGGTTGAGCGAAATGCATCAAGAAAAATTGCTTGATTATGCATTTCGTTAACTTTTACCGAAATCTAAAACGAGATGTTTGAAATGTATGCTTAGATGTAGTTTATGAGCTCTTTCTGTTTTTCTTCCTTCTTTTTTTCCTTTCCAATCTTTTTTTCTTTACTAGTTTAAACATTTAAACAGGTCCTCGTTAAATGTTCATCTGGTTTGATCTGGTTTCCCGTTTGCTCTTTGGTTCATCTCATGTTTTCTGCTAAATATAATAGCAATGACAATGAACTACATTCCAACGTTTTTTAAATAGGTACATAATAAAAATGTCCACCAATAACGTAGCTGCTAGATGAAGATTCTGATGAAGCGGCTCACTAGCGACACCACTTGTTGACAACACCGTATAAAATATATCCATCCAAACAAAACATGATCACCACGTACATTTGCATCTATTGAGTTGATAAATAAGCCTCCTTACGCTGGCCAATCAGATTCAACTGCAATCGGCTGGCGGAATTGATTGTTACAGTGTTTCGTGGTGGTTAGTTAAATTTTAACGTCTGCGGTGTGTACATATACAGTATCTTGAAGTTTAAATTTTCAAAATGTCAGATACTGATACGGCTGAAGATACTGCTAATATGCGCCCGTAAAGAAATTGTTTTTATCTTTCCAAGATTTTCACTTGTACTAATGAGTTATTTTTTTACTTGTATCTTTTTGGCAACACTGTTTTTGACAGATCACACGTGAATTGTGTCTTGTGTCACTGTCAAACTTGTTCAGTTTGGTCTATAATTTAAACATGAATCGACTTACGAATGAACAACGCTTGCAAATTATTGAATTTTATTATCAAAATTCATGCTCTGTGAAGAAAGTGTATCGTGCACTTCTTCCAATTTATGGGCAGTTTCGTCGGCCTACTGAGGGAGCTATTCGGAAGCTTGTGACTTAATTTCGAACCCAGTTTACATTATTGGACATTAAACCACCAACACGCATACAAAGAGTGAGGACCGAAGAAAATATCGCGACTATATCCGCCAGTGATCATGATGACCGTGAAATGTCGATTCGCCGCCGTTCGCAGTAATTGGGCCTCTGTTACTCCACTACGTGGAAAATTTTGCAAAAAGATTTGGGTGTAAAACCTTATAAGATACAGCTGGTGAAAGAATTGAAGCCACACGACCTCTCACAACATCTAACATTTGGTGAATGGGCGCTGGCAAAGTCGGAGAAAGATCCACATTCCGGTAGAGAGTGTGCCAGAATTGAACCTTGCGCATGGGCCATCTAAAGCGGAGCCGCGGACAACATTTGCATGAAATCATCTTCAAACATTAAATTATATTGATCGTTCTATCGATTCCAATGAAGATTTCATCAACTCACTTTTCTATTTCAGTAATATGGAAATATTCGTTTCGAGAGGTATCCAATTCCTGATCAAATTATCTAAAATCCAAAGGAACAATTCGTACAGGCCTGTCTTTTCTTACCTACACAGAAGGTTTATGGACTGACATCTATCTAAAAACAACTACTCCTCTGGCTAATACCACGAAGGGCATTGGACTATATCCGACAGGTGTCAGCACAGGATTCTTCACAGAAGTGATTCCTGCAAATGCTTTTGGCTAGACAACTGTCGGATTTGATTTTCAATTATTGGAACGGGCACACTTGCAGACCGGTTTCGGGCTATTTGGTTTCTCGTCAGGGCAAGTCAGTGTCCCACATTAACACGAAGTCGATGATTTCCTATAATCAAAAATCAAATCGTTTCAGAGTATCACACCTCGAACAAAACTGAAAGCTAACGACAAGCAACATATCTACGATCGCCCCTTCTGCCTACAAACAAAGTTCTAACCAACCTGACAATTCAGCATCGGTTTCTAGTAAACAATGTTTTCAATCCAACTGACATGGGACCTAATTTAACCTAACCTAACCTAACATAAACCAACCTAACCTAACCCAACCTAACCTCTTGAGGTCTCCGCCAAATCTACCAGTTTTTCTGCATCTGCCAACTCTTGGACGCCCTTTTAGGTGTTTTCAGTTTTGAAATTGTCTGTGACTCCGGTGTGAATAACGTTTTTCAATGCAAAAAGGTCAGGAATATGTATCATGATTCGAAACAAGAGTGTTACGAAAACAAAATGACAAGACCATGTCTTACAAAGCCAATTTGCTGCACTTGCTTCATAACCCCAAAAAACAAGGTTAGGAAGGGAATTATCCTGACCTGCACGCCTATGAAACGTCTCGTTCGATGGTGCACTTCCTGCTGATTGTTGCGTCTGAAATTAGCCGCAGGTGATTTCCACCTTGCAGTACCGGCTGAGAGTACCGCTCATTCCGAACCTGTTTGTGCGGTATCTCGCCGGTCTCGTCTCCGATGGGGGTCACAAATGGTACAGACATTGACGGTAGATATACCGGCGCAGGTTACAGAGACGTCGTTGGAATTTTCTGTAGGCAGTATGCAGGTAACATGTTGAGATTGATAATGTTATCGGTAATTTCCTAAATACCTCTTGATACCTCTCTCTACCTAACAATGCAGCTTTAAGTATTCAAGGTGACGTCATACAGTGTATTTTTTAATGCCCCCCCCCTTTAATTTTTTGAACGGGTCAGCTCAAAAAATTGAAATTTGGGACAATGAAATTGATGCATGAATACTTTTTGAAGTGAAATTGACAGATGAAGCATTCAAGATGGCGACGGGGCGCCATTTGAGAAAAAAAGTAAATGGAAAGGGGGTCTTGTGACACATCGTTTTGAAGCTCCTGACGAATACTTCACAACCCTAGAGTATGAAGTCAATATCTTCACATACTACAAAATGGCGGAACATTTAATAATTTCCTGAAGACAAACACATTAATATTGATATTTCTAAGAATATCCCTTTTTATCTGTCATATGGCAATTCCAACAATTCGTTGAGGTTTGTCAAGTTATTTTCTGTTTATAAAAACGACAAAAAATGTCAGTACGACAATGAGCATCATTGTTCAGCTAGAATATTCTCACTTAGTTTTCGGTTTTACAATCTCTAAAATGGTCAATTCTCGTCCATTGGAAGAAAAAATTGAAGCGATTTTTTTTATGGAACGACGCGTAACTTTCACGAAACCGAAAGGATTTTCAATAATAGGGAAGCCCAAGCAGGGATTTCGGGATTTACTAAAGCGCGGCAGATTAATATACCTTGTACACGGTTAAGTACCTCCACCAAATATGAGCCCCATATATAAGGCCGCCTGTGAGGAATATAGGATCAGATTAGTAAAAAAAAAATAATCATCAGAAATTCTCGAGCGCGTCAGATTAAGGTAGGGTGAGTTAATTACCTGCTAAAAAGTGTATATTCCAGTAATCTGACAATTTGAAAGTGACGTAAAGAAAGGGGAGGGCAGCAAAGTTGTAAAAAAATAACGTCATTTCGACATTCTCGAGCGTAGCTAATTTTTTTCAATTTTGAAAGAAATAATTCAAGGATAACGAAAAATATATAATCTGACGATTTCCGCAAGCCGAAACAACAAAAGTTCGTCGATAAAGTTTAATGCGTGCAGCTGTGTGATACCTATATTTCCCTCTCCGAGTTTCTATTCCTCTATTCTCTGTTCACTTTTCCTCTATCTATTACTCTCTCACTCCGTCCCCACTCTGAATTCTGTTGCCATGACGCCATCACAGCTGGTCACAGAGACTCGTTTGTGATGAAGATAAAGATGATGATTAATTAATCAATTAATTGATAGATGTAGCCGTTACTACGTGGTAGGAAATCGTAATGAAGAAAAGAGAAATTAAACTTTCTATGTTTTTTACCACTTTTATTTGTCCTACAAAATGGCCAACCTGCTCGCCAGATTTGATACCTTTGGACTTTTTTTATGGGGCTATCCTGCCGTATATCCAATATTGGATATACGGCAGAAAATAATAATAAATATTTGCAGAGCTTTTGTAGTTAAATTTCAATTTTTTCAGGCAACTATTAAAAATTCCGCCATTTAGTGGTAGTTGAAGATATTGACATTATTCAAGGGTTGTGAAGCATTTGTCAGGAGCTTCAAAAAGATGTGTCACAAGACCCCCCCTGTAAAACAATTGATGTTTATACCCCATTCCATACACAGTCAACGGGAAAATTTTCAATTAAATTTCAGGGTCTACTTACTTTCGGCAGCCGTTTGGTGTTGTTGCCGATTTCTTGGAGATAGTTTATTGGCAGTCAACACTTGTGTTACTTGAACCACATCTGCACGTTTTTTTGCAGAACCTGCAACAGAATCGATGGATCATTTTTAGTTTTTTTAGAACAAACTGTTACCCTAGCTGAAATGTTCAAAAAGACATGAGGTCAAATTTCAAGCACCACAATAAAATATCAATACAATCACATATTTGCAGGAAATACTATTCATCACTATATGAAAATAAGATTGCTTGGATACTATGCGAAAAAAATAAAATCTAGGCACTGATGATAGATTATTGGCAATTTATTGATTCCTGGTCTATTTGTTATGCAGCTGAACTTGGGGTTCCACAAGGTTCGATTCTGGGGCCACATATTTTTCGACGTTATTCTATTAATAACCTTTCTATACACGTTAGGACTAACATGTTGATTATATGTTGATTATATGCAATAAAATCATTGTTAATGTAAGCAAAACTGTTATTAAGTGAGTTACTTGAAAGTCACGAAATTTTTCTTTGAATGTTTTTATTAATGAAGAGTTCATCAATCGATTGAAATCTAAATAAAAACATGATACACGTAAAAAGATCACAACAAATTTAAAGGAACTCTAGATGAATTTCCATAAAGACTGGTACATCAGCAATTCCAGCTCTATACATATAAAATTGTCAAATATACGTAAAGATAAATGAAAATAGCAAACAGTGATGAATATCAAAACACCTCCATTAATAAACACTTACCTTTTCTAGCGAAACTACCAAATTTCTCTCTTTTCTCGATTCTTTCTGTCGACCTAGTCAACTTATCTCTGGAAGGATGTTGGCCCATTTTTGATTATTTGGCATTCAGTGAACAACAAATAGACCTTTCGTCATGACTTTCCTCCAGAGTTGAACAGAAGCATCCCAGTGGCTTTTATTTTCGGATCCATCCGTTATATTTCCAGCTTTGAAAAACAGTTTTTGAAAAAAGATGCTGCCAGATAAGACATCTTTATCGAAGAAAAAAGTATATCATTGAAATAATTGAAATAACGTATATCATTGAAATAATTATAAAGGTTGTTTCAAAAGTTTCAAAGTCATGTCAAGTTTCAATTTTTTGCGTCTTTTCAGCTTATTACTTACTGTATGATGTTAAGTGATTTCAGGATAGTGGATGAACACTGATGGGCCACCCAGGCACTTCCCAGAGGCGAAAACCCACCAGAAAAAGACCATGGATACTGTGTGGTGGTCCAAATGACTATAGACCAGTCGCTTTGCTATAAGTGATATCAAAAATCACGAAGGAAGTCGTAAACCACCACAACCTTAAATATTTGAAAGGAACAGATGATGAATATCTTTCGAATACTTTTATCATCAACGCTGGTGTTCCCCAGGGAGCCACATTATCTCCAACCCTCTTTTCATTGCACATCAATGGAATAAACCAAGATTCCAATATATTGCTTTGCTGACGACAACACACTTGTCCCGTCTCTTCATTTGGATTCCAGGACATCGGCTACGGAGGTACATCTTCAACGGCAGCAGGAGGTTGCATATCTCAAGGGGAAGTTATTTCGAATTGGGGCGGAACTAACCAGGTTGAATTCAATGCCACAAAAGTCCAGGCATCGATTTTCTCCAAACAGATATATATCGCCGAACCGGATATAATGTCAGTACAGACAATTCCGGTTCCTGCTTCGAAAATATTGTTGGGGGGTTACAATGGATACCAATACATCTTGGCACAATCATGTCGCTGGAATTGCGAAGGCTGCTTCTCAAAAGCTAGGAACATTGGTCTGAAACAGAAAACTGTACAAACCCCAGCAACTGTTGATGCTTCATAAAGCTCAGGTCAGACGTTGTTTGGAGTATTGTTTACATGTATGGAGCTCCGCCCCGAAGCTGCTGGATTCCATCCAAAAAAGAACCATACATCTGACATCACTTAAAATCTTGATAGTCTGGAAAATCTAAGAAAAGTTGGAGATTTGTATCTCTTTTATAGATATCTTCACGGGAGGTGTTTAGGTGTCTTGGCACATTGTATTCCACCAAGAGCGGTACATATCAGTAATACACGACGGACTGTGGCTACTCATCGTTTTGGGGTTCAACTCAGTACACCTCGAACTTCACTGTTTAAGGACTCTTTCATTTTGAGAATTGCGTTTATGTGGAATACACTTCCTGAGAAGGTTTTTCCAAATGAATTCAATCTCCAGCGATCCAAATCCAACGTTAATCGCTCCTTTCGCACAGGTACCGATCTTAGAGCGGTCCTGTGCGAGCGTTCTGTGGTGCTTGTGTTTTGTCTTTGGAAAAAACTTTCTGTAATCGGGCCAAACCAGCACATTTTTTCTTTTATTTTTCTTTTTCCTTTTAATTTGTCTTTTCTTTTTCTTTTTTCCTTTTTCCTTCTTCTTTTTTTTATTTTCTTTTTTTCCCCTTTTTTCTTTTTTTCTTTCTTTCTCAAAATGTTCACAAAGCTTTGTCAATAAGAGTTTTTTTTGTGGTGCTCGTGTTTTGTATTTGGAAAAAACTTTTTGTAATCGGGCCAAACCATCACATTTTTTATTTTATTTTTATTTTTAATTTGTCTTTTCTTTTTCTTTTTTCTTCTTTTTTTATTTTCTTTTTTTCCCTTTTTTCTTTTTATTTCTTTCTCAAAATGTTCACAAAGCTTTGTCAATAAGAGTTTTTCTTTTGACAATGAAGCATATTTATTATTATTATTATAGAATCCTATTGTGGGGAAATCGACGAAATTTACCGAAAATTGCGTCAGTAACAACCGGAACTGGTCAACAGAAGAGGTCTGATCCTACTCCACGACAACGCCCGTCCGCATGTTTCACAAGTAACTATCAGAAAATTAAACAAATTGAGCGTCAAAGTTCTGCCTACCCACCAAACTGTCCAGACCTCTCGCCAATCGACTACCAGTTTTTCAAGCGCACGATTGAACTGTGTATTCACTGAGATATTACAGTTTTAACTAGACTTTTGAAACAACCTAATACATTATTTATAAGATTGGCATCGCATACACCACTACAACAAATATTTTGTCGATTTTCAATGTCGTCCTCCGGTGGAAATTCCCACGCTAATTCTGCTCTCAAAAGCATTTACTATAATATGAAAAGCCGTTATTTTTTAATACCAGTCTGAGGCCACATACCTCACCGCAGTAGAAATCGAAAGTAAAACTTTTTCAATGACATTTTTCTTCCATACCGATGTATCTAATTAAAACCTATTTGGAAATCAATGCTTAATGAATATAAATTGCTAATTGACAATGTCAGATGTTATCTGCGAAGGAGAAAGAAACCAGGTGACACTAAGCCAGCAACACACCGTATAAATTGTATTACGAAACACCTGACAGTAAAAAAAACATTCGATTTCATCGGCTTCTTTTTATTATACTTATTGAATTATTAGGAAAAACTATTGAGAATATGTTTTTCCGTTTCGACCCCCTACGAACGACAACCCTCAAAAGAAGGAATGATGTAAATTGGGACATATTTGACACTTCACTTAGAGTTCCCCAGGGATCAAATTTGGGACCGTTAATATTTCTGCTATACATTAATGACCTGCATTAATGACCTGCGATTTCTGCAGCAGCAGACAGTCCTGAGTAGCTTGAAGAGAGGTTGAATTTTATCAGCAATGATTTTACGACATGGTGTCATGATAATAAGCTTGTCGTTAATGCAATATTAATTGAATTCTTTAGTAAAAAAAAGATGTATTAATCATATACAGGTTTTAGTCAATAATGTTACAATTCTCCCAAGTGAAACAACCAAATTTTTGGGTGATCACATTGACATTAATTTATCTTGTAGCGGATCATGTTTCTATAGCTCAAAAAAGAATTTCTCGCCCAATTTTTAATCTAGATCGAACCGCATCATGTAGGCCCTCATTTGAACAAAATAAAATTTTGACTTTCCCGGCAATTTATATCTATGATTGTTTGGTCTATACGTGAATGACTACAAGTCCAATTCTCAGTGCCATCGATATCCCACAAGATTAGGAAATTTCATTAAAATTAAACAACGTAGGAGTTCAACCTATGAAAAATCTCCCTTTCTATCCAGGGGCAACACTTTTCAATTGTTTATCTACTACTCTAAACAATTTCTCCGATATCAAAAAGTTAAGAATAAACCTCAAAGAGTTTTTATCTGATCGGACTATTTAGTCAGTGGAAGACTTCTATAAAAGTGACCGTACATATAATGTGTGTATTATTTATATATATTTGAATGAATATTGTATATAATAATTGTTTTTCACCTGATGTAACTCCGTTATATTATATTCTGCATAATGTTGTTTTAATATACTTGTATTTAACGTTTCCTACACCATAATTGTATGATCTAAAAAGAATAAACACAATTGTTATTATTATTATTATTTTTTTCCACCGTAGTGTGCGCTGGTCAGGCCCTATCCCCCGAAGCCCCGATACATTCGGGGGGGCGCGCCAGCATTATCCACTAATGTCCACTCCCCACACCGTGGGGTAAGTGATCATTGGGTCCAAGAATCATGTGCCCTGAGCAGGCGCAGTGAGCCAAGAATGACAGCCTTCTGCATCTGTGCGGCTAAGAGTTCTGCCTTAGTGCGGCAAGCCGGTATGATTTTAAGATTCGAGAGTATATGGAACAATTATTGCAGATAACATTGAGAAAATCAACTGGAGTCGGAGCAGTCACATGAACTTCTTTTGAGTACACCAGAAACATGTGTAACGCAAAAACATTCATACAGTGTTCAACAATTTTTCCAATATTTTTGCGTTTACAACTGTCAATCTTGAAAACAATTCCTGAAAGGTACACCTTGGCGAATCTAGTGATACCTCTGTTTAATTGATGCCCAGTAGATCAGCTGACGGCGTGGGTGAGAGCTCATCAACATCGAGGAACTCGTGTAGGGAACTTCGTGTTGACGCAGTAAGTGGAGACATTATTCTGTGTAGTGGACTGTGAGGTATTTGTTGTCTTTAAAAATGCATTCGAACACTGAAGTGAAAAACAAGGT